AAAAAAAAAAAAAAAAGAAGTGGGGGAAACATAGAAGTCCTATTCAGTGGAGAAGAATCTATGGTATTTGGGACATGTTCTAGAGTTCTGAGAGAAGTATGAGTTAGACCTAAACATCTTTGGGAGTTATCAGCACATACATGGTGGATAAGAGTGTGTAGGAAGGAACTGAAGGAGGAACCCTAAAGATAATCAGCCTATCAGTGGAAGGTGGACAGTGAAGACAGAACACAGTTAGAGGTTAGCAGATGAGTGAGTAAAGGGAGCAATGGACAGAGTCTTAGAAGGAAGAAATGGTTGGCAGTGAGATGGCCATGTCAGGTAATGAGGAATGTGGTGCTCTTAGACTGGCTGTTTAGGATACCGCTGATGGCCTTTTTGAGAGTAGATTGAGAGGATCAGTAAAATCCAAAATATGATTGCAGCAACTTAGAGGAGAACATGTGCAGAACTAGAAGCAGGACATATTGATCACCTTCATTAGCTGAGCCTGGCAGGAAGAGAGAGCAGTTAGTTGAGGCAGTAACCTCAAGGGAGGTTCCTCTCTTTTCTGTCTCTCTCTGTCTCTTTCTCTCTTTTCCCTCCCGCATTAACTCTCCTCATTCTTCCCTCCTTCCCTTTTTTCTTCCTTCTTTTTCTTTTAAAAAAATTTTTTTTTTTTTTTTGAGACAGAGTCTGGCTCTGTCACCCAGGCTGGAGTGTGTCCCAAAAGTTACAGGCCCGGTGGCTCATGCCTGTAATACCAGTACTTTGGGAGGCCAAGGTGGGTGGATCACCTGAAGTCAGAAGTTCAAGACCAACCTGGCCAACATACTGAAACCCTGTCTCTATTAAAAATACAAAAATTAGCTGGGCACGGTGGCTCACGCCTGTTATCCCAGAACTCTGGGAGGTCGAGGTGGGCGCATCACGAGGTCAGGAGTTTGAAACCAGCCTAACACGGTGAAACCCTGTCTCTACTAAAAATACAAAAATTAGCTGGGCATGGTGGTGTGCGCCTGTAATCCTAGCTACTCGGGAGACTGAGGCAGGAGAATCGCTTGAACCCAGGAGGGAGAGGTTGCAGTGAGCCAA